TGAGTGGCCAGCAGCTGCAGTGAGCGGCCGTCCAGAAGCCGGCGACTGATCTGCCTCACCTGGGAAGAGCGCAATGATGGTGCCAACTTGGGCCAGGGAAGCAACATCCTCCACAACTAGACTGAAGAACAAAAACAGCAACTTGTCTGTTCCCCTTCCCCCAATTCCCCAGCACTGTTCCCATCCCAACACCCCATTAAAAATCTTAAAAAAAAAAAGTAACACTGCGATGTACATATTTGATTAGAAATGATTTTCCATGTTCAACTTAGTCCCAAGAATGGCTTTACCAAGGCAAAAGGGAAGGCTTTTGGTACATATTGTTTTGGGACACTAAAAAAATAAATAAAATGCAACCTTCAAAATGAAAAAACCAAAGATGCAAACAAGAGTCTCCCTTGAGGGCTGGCCGAGTGGCTCAGTTGGTTAAGAGCGCGAGTTCTGAGCAACGGGGTCGCCGGTTCGATTCCCACAGGGCCAGTGAGCTGTGCCTGAGCTGAGCTGCCACTGAGCTGCCAAGAGGCGGCAGGATGGCTCAGCTGGTGAGAGCACTTGATCCTAACAACAAGGTTGCTGGTTGAGCTCCCGCATGGGATGGTGGGCTACGTTCACCCACAACTAAGACTGAACACGGCACCTTGAGCTGAGCGGCCGTGAGCAGCCGGATGGTGACTGGACTTGGAGCTGAGCTAGCTGTGCCCTCCACAACTAAGACCGAAGGACAACAACTTGGCCGTTCCCCTTCCCCATGTCCCCAATTTAAAAATCTAAAAAAAAAAAAAAAAAGAGTCCCCCTTGAGAAAAAAATGAAAAGGAAACAGGTGGAGTGTTCGATGCCTCAAGGAAAACAATAGCAGGCAGGGCAAGTAGCTGGAAACTCACCCTCCTCCTCAGTTGGACGGACATTAGGCTTTCTAAAAGCTAAATAACTCTGGCAGATAAGTGTGTAGTTTTTAGAAAAAGCTTCAGTTTCTTTTGACAAAGAACTCTGATAGAAGTTGGATAGGTTTCACCGCAGTCCTGTCTTCCAATACAAGTTTCACATAGAACACACAGTCTTGCAGCTGAGGTATTGAAATGATCACCTCTTCTGCCCATTTCCCATAACCACCTCCAGCCTGCTCTGGGCTTTCTTTAGAGGGATGAGGGTGGAGGCCTCCTGGCTGGCCTCCCCGCCTCCCGTTTTGCCTCAGTTTAATTCATTGACCGTTATACTCCCAGATGAATTTTCTTCAATGTTCATGTCAGTATTTCACTTCACCAAACACAGATTTATCCCAGAGCTCCTAGAATAGCTTTTTCCAGGAGTTTTCAGCAGCCTGGAGGCAGACATGGAGAAAGTGGGAGACTGGTGTCTTCTTAGTCTGGATTCCCCCAAAGCAGAGCCTGAGACAAGGATTTGGGATCAAGTAGTTTATTTGGAAGGAAAGCCCAGGAAGCCCTGTGAGGGAGTGGAGAAGTGACAGGAAGAGGAGTGTGCGTTCATGAGTGGGCTGTCACTGGGACAACTGGGGCACAAGGCCATGGAATCACTGAGAGACTGTGGAGAGGACCCCTCAGATTTGTCCCTCTGAGGCCAGGAGGCTGGGGAGATTACTGTCAACACCTGTCCCTATAACCACACATGAACTTCATTTCTTTAGCATGCATTCTGCTTTCATCCAAGCCAGCTTTGCTTAGCCTGATAGAGCTACGACTCCCTTGCATTCTTTTCCCAGATTCTCCTACCTGTGCATATACTGCATGTCCACTCGTTTAAATTATTAAGCCCTTAGGACATTAGGTTCTCATCAGCATCAAACTCACTTAAGAATAAAGCTCTGCTCTATCCACCATGACCAAGATACAATAACCAGACCTCAAACTAGAATAAAGTTTCAGTCAAAGACAACACCGTTGCCTGAGTTATCTTTTGGCTCTGGATTCATGAAAGCATAACAGTCCCACGGACCATATCCCCTGGAAACTGGACCAAACAATGCCATGACTGACACCAGGACCTGAGGTCATGATCAGTGGCCCCATGCCTTAGTCCCTCCAATCAGCAGAGCTCACCATCCCAGCTCCCACAGTAAACACGATGAATGATTTTTCCCTTCTGCAAGCTAGCCACTAGAAGCCATTGGGGAGCCGGGTTTCTGAAAACATTAGCTCACCTGTGTCTCCGGGCTTGGAGCTAATTCCTCAAATAAACCTTTACTTTCTTTGCTGCAGTCTCTCCTGTTCGTGTTCTGTTTTTGGTTTAGATGCAGCGCAGGCAAGTGGACCCTGTGTATTTGTGGTAGCATCCCTTAATGCTTCGGAGTTGTTCCTTGGATGACTTCAGGCCTACCCCACCTGTGGTCAGAAAATGCCCCCAGGTGGAGAGGCTGTAGGTGAGGGCAGGAACCAATTGCAGGAGACCCCAGGGAAAGCTGGGGGATGTGGGTGGGCCCTAACAGCTTCTCAATAGTTGCCCCCCTGCCCACCCCCCACAGTGATTTTTTAAAACAGAAATAAGATCTTACTACGCTTACTGATTGTTTGGCTCAACTCTTTCGGAATCATTTCACATCAATAGATACATTCTATACCAAAATTGTTAATGGCTGAATAATATTCCATTGGGAAATTGCGAAGTTACAGTCCATCACACATTTGTTCCTTCTAATCCTGGTTGACATAAACAAAGATGTGAGGAACAAGATGACTCTTCCTAAAACATGGCTGTGCACATGTCTCCCCCTTATTTCTCTCCTGCTCAAAACCCACTAAGAGCTCTCCACTACCCACATGATGAAGACTAACTCCATAACTTGGCCTCTGAGTCTGACCTGTATCTGTCTGCTGGAATTTCTCTCTACCTGGCTCCTTCAGCACGGCCAGTTTGACCCTGGATCATTACAGGGCCTGTGCATTCCTACATCTGCACCCTTGCTCAGGCTGTGTCCCCAACCTGGGCTGCCCTCTCCCTCCCACACTGCTTGGCCCCATCCCAAAGGGATTCCACCTCCCTCAGAACTCCACCCTTCAGTGATGGGAGTCCGTTCTTCTTCACGATCTCTTATTGTATGTCTCACCCATGGGGGACTTCACACAGTCTTGTATTTTTGCTCTCATTTCATGGGTGCATTTTCAGTTCCCAACAATGCTGGAACCAGCGAGGATACACTATTGTGTCTCAGTGTTTAGAAGGGTGCCTTGCACACACAGGCATCTCCTCGGTCAAGGTAGCTGATGGTGAGCACAGGGCTTGGTTTCATCTTTCTCCCTGGATGAGGGTGGAGATGAAAAGTCACACCTCTGTGTCCTTCCCACTCACCAAAAGCCTGTGACTACAGTGCTAGATCTCAGCTTGTTGACGGCTGTTGAAGCCATAAGACCCACAAAGACAGCTAGTGTACTTCCCACAGCCCCCCCCGTCCCTGGAAACGGGGCCTAAGGAAGAGGTGGGAATGGTCTTTCTGATTTTAGACACCAGGTCTGCCAGGAACAAAAGTGTTGGGTGGGGGAAGGGCAACTCAGGGAGTGCTAATCCCTGCTTCCTGTCCGGATTTTCCTTGACTGCTGCCCCAGGCCTGTCTTAGGATGTTCACAGCTCCCAAAATAGATCTCTGCCCTCACCTGTTCTTAAGCGAAGAAAACCTTGATAACCTCCTGTCAAAGAATGCATGCTTTTGTAATTTTCCCTGGATGAGGGACAACATGGGGCGCTGCTGCTGAACTCCCCAGGTTTCTCCACCTCTGACCTGCAGTGACTCATCTTGGCCAGGGATCAAGCAGCTACAAAGCAGGGAGTCAAAGGGCCAGCCACCTGCTTCTGGCCAGGGCCCAGCCTTTCCTGCGAATTTGGTTGGTGTTGCCTTCCTTGATCTGCTCCAGAAACTACCCTTGGCCCACAGGACGCCCCTCACTCAGAGTGACAGAGAGCAGGTCCTCTGCCACCCTCACTCACCTGCCCCTCGTCCCTGGCCTGTTCCTACAGAATTCTCTATTCCTGCTTAACTCATTATCCTAGTCCATTGAGCTTTGGGACCTGAAAACCAAGCGTCTGAGTTAGGGCCGGTCTCCCCAGCCACTGCAATCATTCACTCAACAAGTGCAGACCCTCCCTGAGGCCCAGTATCGTGGGAGCTACCGCGAGCAATGAGATGTGATGCCCAGCCCGGGCGCAGGAGGATTGGAGGTGGACATCTGGGAGAGAAACTGGCCTCCGGGGGGTTAGGTCCTGGGGACCGCTTGTCCCCAAAGCTGGAGAGAGGAGAGCCGAAGGCGGCGACTTAATGCGAACGTTCCGGGCACCTGCGCATGCGTGGGAGACTTTGGCGTCTCCGGTGTCGCCAAGGTAACCCTGACCCAAGGAAGCGGCCATGGACTCCGGGACTGGAGGGAACTGGGGTGATACCCCACCGCAGAGGGCTGCCCCAGCAGTGAGGGCTGAGCCTGGGAGCAGAGCCTGCCTTTACCCCTGGGGGCAATGGCAGACTTGGGGAGCCATCCCTGGGGGGGAACGGGGGTGGGGTGGGAGGGGCGGGGAGGTTGAGAACTCTGCAGGGAGTGGTGAGGATGAGGAAAGCGACCCTAGCCGGAGAGGAGAGACTTGGCAGGGAGGCCGTGGGGATGCGGAGGGGAGAACGCGGGGTTAGGAAGGCAACTCGCGGGGGAGGGGGGGCACGGGGAACCAGGGGGTTGGATCCCCATCCCTTCTTTTCCTAGACTGACTGAGGCTCCCCTTCCCCGCAGCCCTGGGTGACCATCCTGCAGCCCCTCCAGTGGGCCGTCCCATCTGCACCTCAGCAGCCCGGCCGCGTGAAGGAAGGTGAGAGACTCCACGCTCCCTCCCCGTCTGCCCAAGCACATTCTCTGGGCTTCAGAGCTGCACCCCCTACTCCTTCCGCGCCCTGGGGCTCAGTGTCCGGGGGAAAGGCCCTAGGGTCGGGACAGAGGGCATGGGGAGGCCTGGAATGGCCTGCTGAACCCCTGCCCCCCAGACCTGCTGGAGCTGATGATGCTACAGGATGCGCAGATGCACCAGCTGCTGATGAGTCGCCTGGTGACCGCGGCGCTCAATCCCAGACTGGCCTCCCCACTCCCACAGGTGCATGGGCCAGGGGTGGATCTCTGGGGCCACCACTTGCAGGTCCAGGGGTGAAGATCCATCTGTGCATCCCCTCTTGAGAAAAAGAACCAGGCGACAGAATAGCAGGAAGCCACCCACCGTCTATTAGGCTGGGTCTGTTTGGCATCTATTATGTGCCAGGCCCCATATCGGCCTTCTTGGGGTGAAGGTGGAGGTCCCCAAATCCAGACCACTCAGGTCTTGTTTTCAAGGAGGTGTCGTTGCAGTGTGTCCTCCCACTGGACTGCAGGCCCAGGAGGGCAGCACCATTGTACGCTGGGCCTGCAGGGTACCTGGTACTTATTAGGGGCTCAACTGTTGTTTATTGAAGAAGTGAATGAATAAATGAATGACTGTGAATACAAGGCAACTTTGGCTGTGACTGGCACAGGAGAGGTACACCGCCTGTGTGCTTACCTGGTTGGGGGATGAGGAAAAGCTCCTTGGAAGAGCAGGTGACCTTAGAACTAGCCCTTGGAAACCACGTAGGAGTCTGATGGTTGGAGGAGGTGAGAGGTATGTTCACCATCCAGGCTGGCGGGAGCAGTGCTGCCCCTCAAACCCGGGTCCTCAGGGGGCCCTGAGATGAATGCCCCACCTCACTGACGGGCATAGGTGGCTCCAGGGCCTGGGGCTGAGGTAGGGGTAGCTTGCTGGACTCCTGCCTCAGCTCTGGAGTCACACCTGGGTTCTTCCAGTCCCTGCTCGGCCTCTTATTAGCTGGGTTACCTTAGACAAGTTGTTCAAGCTCTTTAAGCCTCAGTTTTCCCACCTGCAAAATAAGGAGTAAATGTCTCCATAGTGCCTTGCTTGCATGTAGTAAATGCTCAGACGGTAGCCATTTGATGATGTGTATCTGGAGACACAATTTAGAGGAACAGAGGAGTGGGAGGTCCCGATCATGTCTCACCATCTCCCGCTCCTTTCTCACCATCACTAGGTCTACCTGGAGGGCCAACAGGAGTGTGAGGAGGAGGAGGAGGAGGAGCTGGAAGCCCAGGAGGAAGGGCCTTTGGTCCTCCACCACCACTACCTGCCCTGCCCCGCGCCCACTCTGGGCCCACTGCTAGCCTGGCCAGTGCCTTTCCTCTCCCCTCCCCCACATCAGCCCCACTTGCAGGATGTGTCCAGGATTCAGCACTGCCCTCCTGCCAGGAAAAGGGAGGTGTAAGTGTGTGTGTGTGTGGGGGGTCTGGATACTGCCATGGCCCTGCTCTGGGGCTGGGGTGGAGATATTTGTGGGTGAAACCCGAGAGGCCATTTCTGATTGGCTATTTCTTTTCTTGTCCCCATTTCAGGAGAGCTGTGCCACCACCCCCACCACCCAGTGCCACAGGGACTGTGGGTGCAGAGGTACCCCCAGCTTCAGGTAGGGGCAGGTAGGTGGGTGGGAATAGGGCCTAGGCCTAGGGATGGGTCAGGAGGCCAGGACGGTCATGTTCCCTTGGGGGTGGGGGTGGGGGTGACTGCCACTGTCACCTCTGCAGTCAATTGGCCAGTCCCTTTCCCTTTCTCTCCCTGGGGTCCACTGGGGTAGGAGGGAGTCATTGAAGGTGCTGTCTCCCCCCAGACTACTATGATGCTGAGAGCCTACTATGAAGATAGATGTTGGCCCAGGGAGCCACACCAACTTCACCACAAGGCTGGAAACAGCCCTGGAGCCCCCAAGTACCCCTGTAGTGCCTGCAGCCATGCCTGGCAGCCCTTCTCCCGCCTCCACACCAACCAGGCCCTCTCCTCCTAGTGAATCAGTCCCATCTCCACCCCACCAAGACCTTGAACAGACCTGACCTCTTCTCTTGAGAAAGAGCTTGTTAGAGTACCGTTAAGGGCCTGGAAACCACATGAAAACCCAACTCTGCCCCACTGGTTCCTGCCTGGGCCACGGGGAGCCTGGGAACCAGAGCCCTCCCTACCCCTCCTGCCCTCACCCCTCTCTCTGGGAAGGCCAGGGCTGTGGGGTCTCCGTTTGCCCTAATAATGGAGCAGGAGGTGAGAGGAGAGAACTGCTTTTGTTGTCCACAGTTCTCTAAAGGCCCAGAGTGATGGTGGAGAGGCCTGAGTGGGAGAGGCCCTGGAGCTGAGCCAGTTCCCTTACGGCTCCCACCCTCAACCCAGGAAGCTGGCTCTGCTGGCCAATGCCCTGCTCTGACAGGGAGTGGCCCAAGTTCCTGGAGGGGCATTTGGGAACAGAACGTCTCTGCCCCGCTGGGTCAGGCACAGGGTTAAGTCCAGCTGTTTGTATTCAGACTAGGAAAGGAAATGTCCCCGAAGTCCTCTGCTGCTTGCCATAGTCCTTCAGCCAGGGCTGGACCACAGCCCTGAGGAGCCACACTGAGTTCCAGTGGCTGCCATGGTGGTGGCCACACCGCTCATGTAGCCTGGACCCGGTAGGCCCGTCTCAGGCTCTTCCAGTCTGCACCCTATAGGTGCCTCGTCGCCTCTGATTCCACTGCTGGCCAAAGACAAAGCACAGCACGACGGATGTCACAAACAACAATAGTAGCAGTGACACAACCGTGATGATGATGACCATCTGGTTGCCCGGCGTGGGATCTGGGGAAAGAGGGGACAGTGGTCTTAGAAGTCCTCTGGTCCTGGGTGCCAGGGCCCATGGGGGAGTGGGGGTCCACCCATCCCCCACCCATCCTTATTCATCCTGCAGTTGCAGACATGACTGGCAAATGCTGTATTATCTAGGGAAAAGGTAAGCCGGGGTCCAGGCCATCAGGCCTCTGTGAGACTGTGAGGGCAGGTGCCCCCCTACCACCAGCCCCTGGCATCAGCATGTGATTGCTGGACGCCATGGCATGGACAGTGGAATGGTCCAGGCCAACCCCTCCCTGGGCACAGCTGAGTGAGCTTCTACCAAACTCTCTGAAGATAGGGAATGCCTTGGCCATCAAGAGTCACAGAACAGTGGAGCTCCAGGGGACCTTAGGGTCAGTCAATTCAAACTTCTCATTGTAGGGAGAAGCCAAGGCCAGAGAGAGGAGGTTGACTTGGTCAAGGGCCCACAACTCATGAATGACCAAACAACTAGTCCAGGTCTAAGCTGGGGACTTGGATGCTGGGGACTCGGAGAAAGCTTCAGGGAGAGGGAACCCTCCGGGATTAAGTGTGGGGCCCCTGAGCTGGCAGAGAGTGCGCTAAGGTTTTCATTTCCCCCAAGGGGCCAAAAGTGAGTGCCCTCTCCTTCCCTCCCTCTGTCCAGGGAGCTCCCCCTCACCATAGACATTGACCATCTGGCGCTCTGAGACGTTGCAAATGATGCTGTTGCCCAGAGACCTCAGATCCAGCTCAGCCTTGCAGGAGAAGTTGTGCTTGCCCATTTCCCTGACAGCCGTGATTTTATGTGTGGTTATGGCATCTTTGGAGTCAGCTGTCGCCCCCTCAAATGTCTTCTTGTGCAGAGTTTTGTTGCCATGAAGTAGGGTGAGGGTGAGTTTCTCAAGGGGTGCCACATCAGACACCCTGCATTCCATGGTGATGGATCCGCCCAAAATCACCCAGGTGGGCTGTAGATTTAGCAGCACTTCCTTTGGAGGGTCTGCAGGGGGAGAAAGTGGAGAGGTCTGGCCAGGATGGGGGTGTAGTCCCAGCAGACCCACCCAGCCACGACCATCCCATCCCCAGTGTTCCCATGTCCCTGGCTGGACTTGTGGAAGAAGTAAGCCAGGGCCTGGCCTGCTCTAGAGTGTAAAGAGAGGAAGAAGGAAGCAGTGTGTGGTGAAGGATGTACTGGGTGGTAGTTTTACAGACTGGAATGGACAAGAATGGAGGTGGTCAGGTGTCTATAAAGAGAAGGTCCAGAAACTGTACAGTCAACTAGAAAGATATAAATGTTTGGACCTGTTTCCTTCCTCTCCAGAAATTAAAGACAAATTTCAAAAATTCAACAATTGGATAATTATGCTCAGAGAGACTTAGAAAGGAGTGCTTACTGGAACTGGGCCATGAACTGTGAGGTTCTCACATAAGAAGTGGGGGCTGGGGCTGGCTGAGTGGTGCATTGGTTAAGAGCTGGCTTGGGACACCAGAGGGCCCTGGTTAAGATCCCACATATGAGGGCCAGTGACACTGCTCTCTACAGCTAAGATGCTGAACAACAGCTCAACCTGGAGCTGGGCTGCCGTGAGTCTCTGGCAGGTGACAGCGTAAGCTGCAGCCCCTGCTGCAGTGGGTTGCCATGGGCTACCATGTGTAGCCAGCAGCCACCGTGAGCGGCCAGCAGCCATAGTGAGTGGCCGTCTAGAGGCCGGCGACTGATCTGCCTCGCCCGGGAAGAGCGCAATGATGGTGCCAACTTGGGCCAGTGAAGCAACCGTCCTCCACAACTAGACTGAAGAACAAAACGACAGCAACTTGTCTGTTCCCCTTCCCCCAATTCCCCAGTGTTGTTCCCATCCCCCAATTCCCCAATAAAAATCTTAAAAAAAAAAAAAAAGAAGTGGGGTCTGGAGTCACCTGCCTTAGTTCTCTAGGATCAGGATCACAGCCACCTCAATCCCTTAATAAAAGGGCCCTTGGTGGTGGCCGGGATTTCCCCTTTGAATTAGAATCCCTTGCCTCCAACACCCCAGGATATGTTGGATTTAGGACACCTTTCTATGCATTTGATCCACTGATGTTATAATGGGGAGGACCTGAGTGATACCCTTGGTGCTGAGATGTTGAGAGAATCCTGGCCTATCCAGAAGGTCTCCATGGCTCATAGGCAGGTGTGTGTGTGATGGTCCCACATTTGCCAAGGGCTCTCAGGAGAACTTAAACTCACCTGGTGACTCCTCAGCTGTCTCTCAAAGAGGTGAAGGGACCACTGGGGAGCATGGCAGCCCTCCTGATTGTGTCCTCCCTCCTCATCATGGGGATAGGGGCTGCTCCAGTGATGGGGCTGCCACTGAGCTGGGAGGAGGCTGAGTACTGTGTGGGAAAGGACTTTTCGATTTATTTCAACCTTCCTTGCTTGGAGCAAGCCTCACAACCAGGGTTGCCAGCAGGTTCAAGGAGGCGAGTGAAGAGTATAAGCAGATTTTGAGGCCATGGCCTGGGTCCTGCTCCTTGTCACCCCAGGAACCCAGGGAGGTCGGGGGAGGAGGGGCATGACAGAAGTGCCCAGGAGCAGTAACAGAACAGCTTTGTGTCCATTCAGTAGACAACGGGCTCTGCCCTGGGGTGGGAGTGGGGCGGGGGGCCTGGAGCACTCACAGAACACGTTGACGTTGGCAACCTTTGACGCCTGTTTCTCGAAGCAGGTGAAGTAGCAACACATGACTGTGTCCTTGGTGACATTGTGGACTAAGAACTGCTTCCACTGAGCTTGTTCATCCAGCAGTTCCTTGCTCAGGGGGGTCTCCAGACCACCGGTCCCAGGCTGGAGACAGTTGGTACTACAGTTGATCTTCAGAGACTCTCCATACTTGACCGCCACCCGCTCTGGCCACACATACACCTCGAACGCCGTCTCGCTAGACCCTGGAAGACCAGAAACACTGAGCAGCAGATGTCCCTGCTGCCCTGCCCAGTGGAACTGCCCACCACTGGCAGTCTGATCAAGGGGGAGGGTCCCAAGAAGAAAGGCCAGGGATGGTTCCTCAGCTCCTTGACCCTGGACTCTCGCTCAGGCCTTGCTGTCTTGCGTCTAGACCGAGGAGGCTGTCTCTGGGCTGTCTCCCTGCCTCTGGTTGCCCTTCCTCCAGCCCATCGCTTCCAGATTAGTCTCCTGCATGTCTTCTAGCTCCACGAAGAGGGATCCTACTCAACCTTCAAGGCCCAGCCCTAATGCGCCCTCTTCCACGAAGGCCTCTCTAAGATGGAGGCGGACGGTGTGTCTTCAGAGCCCCGTGGCTCTGGAGTCTACCCTTCCCTCCCGCCTTTCCTTTCCTTGCCTTCCTCAAATACTTTTTTTTTTCTTTTTTAAAGATTTTATTGGAGAATTGGGGGAGGGGAACAGTGTTGGGGAATTGGGGAAGGGGAACAGCCAAGTTGTTCTTCAATCTTAGTTGTGGAGGGCGCAGCTAGCTCAGCTCCAAGTCCAGTTGCGCCACTCAGCTCAAGGTGCTGTGTTCAATTAGTTGGGGGCGGGCGTAGACAACATCCCATGCGGGAGTCGAACCGGCAGCCTTGTTAACAGCACGTGTTCTATCCCCTAAGCCACCAGGGCAGTAGCTCAGCTCAAGGTGCTGAGTTCACTCTTCAGTTGCGGGCGGGCGTAGCCCACCATCTCGAACAGGCAACCTTGTTGTTAGGAGCACGTGCTGTCACCAGCTGAGCCATCCTGCCACCTGTTGGCAGCTCAGCTGCAGCTCAGCTCTGGAGCAGCTCACTGGCCCATGTGGGAATCGAACCGATGACCCTGTTGCTCAGAGCTCAAGCTCTTAAGCAAGCTCTTAACCAACTGAGCCATTCAGCCGCCCCCTCAAATACTTTTTGAATACGTACTATGTACCAGGCACTGTCCTAGGCTCTGCAGCAGTGAACAAAGCAGACCAAACCCTGCCTTTGCAGAGCTCACATTCTAGTGAAGGGGACAGACAATAATAAGCAAGTGAAGTATCCAGCCTGTCAGGTGGGGTGGTCAGTGCCTGGGAAAGGACATAGAGGGTGGAGTGGGGTTGCCATTTTAAATAGTGTAGTCAGCACAGGCCTCTCTGAAATAATAGCCTCTGAGCAAAGACATGATCATGGGGGTGAGCCCTGCAGCCATCTGGAGGAGAGTGTTTGCGGGGAGGGAACTGCCAGCTCCAATACCCTGGGTCAGGAGTGCTTGATGCTTAAGGAACAGCTAGCTCAGTGAGGTAAAAGGCAGGGGAGGAGGAGGTCAGAAAGAAAATGGTACCACCTTGCAAATGACCCCTGTTACTAGTGATTCATATTCCTGTTGACTCTCCCTTAGTGGTTTTGGAGCTTCTAGAAAAGGCAGGGTCTTGTTTCCCATTGCTTTTAGCCCTGTGTGTGTCAGACATTCAGGACGTCTTTGACTCATGAAGGTTGAGCCCTCAGCACTCACCTCCCAGGATTTCCTTGATCCCAATCAGCTGGGCCCAGCCTGTGTGCTGTGCTGGCACCACACCCACACGCCCCACTCGGCCCTCAGATCGTGATCTACATCAAAGTGGCAAGAGGGCCTTAGACAGAGCTGGATTTGAATCCTGAGCTCACCATGTACCAGCTATGTGACCTTAGGCAAGTTGCTGTCTCTCCCCGAGCCACAGTTTCTTCATCTTTGAAATGGGCTAGTAATCCCTTTCCCACAGTGCTGGTGTGAACACTCAATGAAATAGTGCTTTAAAAGCACCTGGCAGGTTGTCCAAAACAAGAACGCTTGGCACATGGTGGCATTTTCCCTCACAGACCCCTTGACCCACTGGGAGGGTTTTCATTTTCACTCTGAGGAGTCAGAAGGTGAGGCCTTCTTCTGTCCCCTTCCCCCCCACACTGTCCCCTAGGCCACATGTGAAGACCAGCTAGGGCATGCCCTCACCTTCTCTTGAACCCCAGCATCCCTTTACCTCCTGAGGCCCCCACCCAGCCCACCATTTAGCCTCTACAACCTGCCACATCCACACACCATGAAGCTATGGGACCCCCCACCTAATGCCCAGGGTCACGGGGAAGCCAGGTAGGCACAGTATCCATGGCAGGTGGCCGCTGTTTTCAAAGCCTTGGAGACTTCAGGGCCAGCACCACCCCTCACCTCCTCCCCCCACTCCCCCACCCCCACCTAAAGCCAGGAGAGCAGGTGGCCCACCCTCCGGGCTGGCACCTGCCAAGTCAGGAACCCCAGGCACTGGCTCACCTAGGCAGCAGAGCAGGGTGAGAAGGGCCGCGGGCAGGCCCCAGCAACCAAAAGGGGCCATCTCAAGTAGCATCCGCAGGCTCGCCGGGAAGAGCAAAGGGCTGCCTGGAGAAAGACGGAGGAGGGTCAGGGAGTGGTGGCCTGGAACCTGCAGCCCAGAGACTCCAGCCTTCTGGGAGCCGGATGACCAGCATTTCCTCTCATTGTATGAGCTATCCTTGGAAAGCCTTGTGGGAGGCGGGCCCCCAGGGCTCCCAGCCTGCAAGAATCCAGGCAGAGGAATCTGGCAAGCCTCTGATGAGCAGGACAGTGACCTGATCTTCTGGGCAATCTGTGCAGGGGCAGGGTTTCGGTGAGTGTTCCCGTGTAGATAGGTGTGTACATGTGTGTGAGTGATGTGCATGCACACAGGAGTCTGGGGTGCTGTGTGGGCACAGAGGGCAGTGATGCCTACAAGCCCCGGATCTGGGGAACCCCAAATCTCATAGGACACATTGTTGGGGTCCTTTCTGGGACGAGAATATCTGAAGTCAGGACCTGTCCAGGACAGGGGGTCCCCACGGCAAAGCAGGTAGAGTTGGGCTTTTTTAGGGAAACCTGGGCAGGAACTGGAGGTGCTTCGGCTAATTGCCCAGCACAAGTCTACTTAAACCTTAACATCCTGCTCAGCATTCAACCTCAACCAGTCCCTGACTCAGCTGACACAGGGACAAATTCAGACCCACAGCCTCAGGAAATGCTCCCATAATAGTCCCCAGCAGCCAGGCACACACAGAGGTAATGGGGGTCCGTCTGGCTGTAGTCTAAGTGCCCAGCCTCCATTTCCTGGCTGGGGATTTGGGTTTTGGGGTCTTTCCCAACCCACTCCAGGCAGGGAGTCTTGGTCTAGGGGGTTAGTGCCTGACAAGTTGCGCCCGTGTTTCTAGAAGGCTTTGTTACCTGTTGCTGGGATCCCCAGAAGCAGTAAGCAGGCGAGAGGGTGGGGAAGGCCTTGCCAAAGAGGCTTTTGATCCTAACACAGCCAGTCTTCTAATGCTGCAGTTATAGCTAGGAGCCCCAGGGACCCGCAGGCCCTAGAAGAGGGAGGAGAGGAGCAGGACCTCTAGTTTTCTTAGAGGCACCCCACAAAGGGATGTCCCAGCATTTTTAAGGCTCAGGCCAAACCTCTTCCTGTGTTGGGAGGGCAGGGTGAGGTCATGCCTTTGGCTGCTGAGGCCAAATAAACATTATTAGGAATGCAGACAGGAACCTAACTAACAGATGGAAAAGGAGACGTTACAAACTCATAGAAACAAAGTAAGGATGGTGGTTGCCACAGGCTGGGGGAAGGCGAAATGGGAGTTGTTCAGTGGGTACAGTTTCTGTTTTATATGCTCCAGAGATTGGTTGCAAAACAATGTACTTAATACAACCGACTATTGATATCAGACTAAAAGGACTTTTAAGACAAAAATATTTATGAGGGATAGAATGAGGGCCTAAATTAAAGGGGTCAGTTCACCCGGAAGTTATAATAGTTCTAAACTTGTAAGCATCTGGCTTCAAAGAACTATTGGGTTGTTGGAAAAGTCATGATGCATTTTTGAAACAAAAAACAGAGAAAAAAT